GCAAGATACCTATTATTACACCCTTGATGCATCGTGTACATTCCATACCAACACTATTACTGGAGATTTGTTGAAGAAAGATTGCGAGTATCGTACATCAATTATATTGGTTGCTGTCTTGAATAGCTTTAATCCCTGTAACCCACCACGGTACATTCCGAGTGTTGTCTGTGCCGCGCGCCGATTAGATATCCGTCTTGAATTCATACAAGTATCAACTCAACGTCGTTAAGTGCCCTTAGTATTTCGTCATGGATTTGGAAGACGGGGGAGACTCACCTTGGGGAGGTATGCTTCTACCGACTGAAACGACAATTCTGGAAGTGATCAATATTGACAACTATATCAGATGTCCCTTCTCAAGCCCAATCGACACCAAGCTTACCCAAACCCGAACAATCCGCTACAGAAGGAGGTCAGTCATCATTGCATTGAAGTAGGATTCGAATTTAACTTTATTACAAAGAAACCCCCGAATCTGCATCACAAACCCTTGCCCCACCAGCTTCACAAGGCAAAACACATGCAGGACGTACGATACGAACCCCTCGACGCGCTGGAGCACAACCAGTTCGACTTCAAGCTTTAGATGATTCTTTGGGGCCATTAGGACCATTGGGTGATAACGCGCCAACATCGAAAGCCGACGAGCCTCCTGCGCCGCCTCAAAAAGAACAAACTGTTACACACAATCCGCGACAACCATTAACTTCAGCGCAAAGCTCTACTATAAGTCGAAGTTTGTTGGATTCAGTGGATTTGAATGAGGATGTTGAATCCAGTACTGGACCTCGCATACCACCTCCTGTTCAACCATCTCAAATAGGCTCGGTTCGAAGAGAGTCAACACCTAGTGTGAGCATCGAACAAGCTGCCAAGCCTACTTTCAATATTACAGTCGGTGATCCACACAAAGTTGGAGATTTGACCAGTTCTCATATTGTGTACTCTGTTGAAACAAAGGTAGGATATATCAATTCCAAGGAAGTATCGGTATAAACTAATCATAAATTAGACATCCTCTAAAGCATATCGTCAACCGGAATTTACTGTCACTCGAAGATATAGGGACTTTCTTTGGCTTTACAACTCTTTACATGCAAACAACCCTGGTGTCGTTGTACCTCCACCTCCTGAGAAACAGGCTGTAGGAAGATTTGATACAAATTTTGTTGAATCTAGGCGTGCTGCATTAGAAAGAATGCTTAATAAAACAGCTGCTCATCCAACACTTCAACATGATGGGGATTTGAAACTGTTTTTAGAAAGTGAGGCTTTCAATGTTGATGTCAAACACAAGGAACGAAAAGAACCTGGACTTGGTGAAAGCAAAGGCATGTTTAGTGGACTTGGTATTTCTGTTGGTGGAGGAGGAAAATTTGTTGAACATGACGATGTAAGTTATGATTCTTCTAGGAGTTTGAAGTTGCTGACATGATTAGTGGTTCCACGAGCGGCGAATTTATTTGGATGCTTTGGAGAATCAACTCAAAGCTTTGTTGAAAGCTATGGATGTTGTGGTTACCCAACGTAAAGGTCTTGCTGAAGCTGCAGGTGATTTCTCTGGTTCCCTTCGAGCACTCTCAGCTGTTGAACTCTCTACATCGTTATCCGGACCTCTTGAAAGTCTTGCGGATTTACAAGTCAGAATTAGGGAACTTTACGATCGACAAGCACAACAAGATGTATTGACTTTGGGTATCACAATTGATGAATATGTTCGTTTGATTGGAAGTATCAAACAGGCATTCGGTTCACGTCAAAAAGCATGGCACTCATGGCATGCAGCAGAGGGTGACTTACAAAAGCGTAAGACTACTCAAGAGAAATTATTACGCCAAGGGAAATCACAACAAGATCGTTTGAATCAAATGCAAGGAGAAGTGGCCGATTCTGAACGTAAAGTTCATCAAGCAAGATTATTGTTTGAGGATATGGGACGTCTTATGAAATCCGAACTTGATAGATTTGAACGTGAAAAGGTTGAGGATTTTAAGAGTGCCGTGGAGACATTCTTAGAAAGTGCTGTGGAAGCTCAAAAGGAGGTAAGTTGTTACATTTATGATATCAGAGACATCATGCTAATATTCTTAAGCTTATTGAACTTTGGGAAACTTTCCTTATGCAACTTGATGCTGAAGAAGATGAACAATTATTTTATAAGCCCCCCGTAGAACCAGCGGCACGTTCTTCTTCAGAAACTGGAATCTCAGGTGAAACTGCTACAGACTCACAAGCTGCAGCTGTAGCAACTGCTGAAGAAGAAGATTAATGAATGACACAATGATATCACGTTTTTGAAAAGTAATTGGGTGGGGGAAAAAAGATGAAGAGAATGACACAATTATCAAATCATGAGGTGATTGTGGTATGCTGGTTGTAGTATTTTTGTACATAGAATAATATTTCAATTCTGAACGCCCAATCCTGATCTCTGTGCATTTCTTTTAACCTCCTTGACAATGTATATGTACATGTGTTCATGACAAGATGAGGGATGTTCTCTCGGTCATCGTACAATCCAACTTGATATGTTTGATAATCTCTGAAGCTCTGGAGGGAGAATAACATTTCCCCAACTTCATACCAAGATATTCCCCATCCCAGTCATTATAATAATACCCCTCACTCCACCCCTCAATGCAACCCACCCATTTATTTCTTCTCCTTTCCACTCTTCGTCCTAACAGTTCCCTTCATACTAGCACTATCCCTCTGAGCTCCTCCACTAATCAAATCCATCAAACTATCCATTGAATCTCCCTTCTTGCTCTCTACCCCTTCATCAGCCTTCGCACTCTCTGCATCCTTTGCCAATTTCTCCTCTCCATCTGCCTTCTCTACCTCTCCATCCCATCCCCTTCCGAACCTCTCTCTGAATGCACTCAAACGTCCTGCTTCATCATTCTCAACATTCCTTAATGAATCTAAAGAGGGCTGCCATAAAGGATGATTTCGTGTATCTTTTGTACTGCGGTAAATGGGCGCTGGAGATGTGGATCGAGTGAGGTAGGTTGAGCCGTCGGATAGAGTAACGAGTTGTGTGAAAGTATATGGTCGAATAGGACGTTTTAGAAGGGTGGCGTGTCGAATTTGGTGGGTGAGGGTGGAGTTTATGGGGAGGGTATTGGAGGTAATGGAGGAGGTACGGCGGAGGGTGAGGGATGGGAGGGACATGATTTCGGCGTAATTGGACGGATGAGGATACGGCGTAGTAGTATTGACGAGAGGAAGAAGCGCCTCTAGTTTAGGGCACCGAGACGTATAATTGGGTTCGTATGAAATATCGAGTTTCTCGTCGCATTTGACGAGGCTTGCATCTAGATTTGTTTTCTGAGAACTTTTCTACGGTGTGCGCGATAGACCAATGACGATGTGAATATAATTTTCAGCCTTGTGGAACCTTGTGTGGATACACAGCGCCTTGCATATCTGAGTATATTTTTGACTCAATTGAGGACGGAGTCAAAGTAAATTTCATATCAATTGGTTTAGAAAGGGCTGCAGTTTTGTAGTATTTGGAAAAGATGATATCTACTAAGAATTCGCGGAGTTTGCTTTATACAAATCAATCTTCTGTTGTGGGAGGCTTTCATGAATTATTCTGGAGATGGAGTTCACTGGAGAAGACTTCTAAAAAATGTATAGTATTCTTCTCATTTACTTGTAATCCCTAGTATACTTCCTTTACTGACACCTGGTTCTGAATTTTCTAGATCACACTCATTCTTCTCGACACAATGCATTTTCAAAATGTATTCATCAGCAACCAAGAAAAAGCAGCAGCTTGTCCAATCCTTCTCCTTCAAAACCGACCAGCGCCATTGAGTCAACAGATACACCTATAGATACCCCATTAGAAGCCCCCAACAAGTCACCCGAACTCAATCAACTCGCCTTGGATGTCCGTCAAGTAATGCGCCATGTACCGCATTCCGTCGTAATCCTCACCACTCCAAACATTCATCCAAATTCTGGAGAACCCTCAATAGCAGCAGCAGCTATGACTTTATCCTCTTTCACTACCCTTACACTCTCACCAGAACCTATTATCACATTCAACATCAAGCGTCCTTCCCGAACACTCGATGCGCTAAAAGCATTATACCCCATCGGGTCAGGATCATCATCCGCAAAAGATAACCCCGAAAGATGGTTTCACATCCACCTATTAGAAGCCAATACATCCGGTGCTCAACTTGCCAATCATTTTTCTCGTGGTGGACCTATGCTCCCCGAGGATCGCAAGTTGGTGTATTCCCCCGGTGCAGTCTCAAATGTAACCACTAAAGGTATAAGACAGACGTTTCAATGTGAGATTCTGAGGAATCATGAAAATAGTGGGTTTATTGATGTTGGGGATCATACGTTGGTTTTTGGGAAGATGATGAAGATTGGGTTTGGGGAGCAAGCGGATAAAGTGAAGGGAAGGAAGAAGGAGTGGAGGGGGTTATGTTATATGCAGGGGCAATATCAAATTGCGATTCCTATGTTGCATGCCGATAAGAAGAAGGATGTCACTGTTTCAGGTAATGGAGTTGGGGGTACTGTATAAGATAATAGGATCGAGGTTAAGGAGAAGTTGGACGGAGAGGGAATGCAGAGCTGGTAGAGGTCAGAATCTTGAAGAGGCAAGAGAAGAATTTAGTGTCATGAGCACGGGTTCGTGGTATGTATAGAGTATCTCATGTTTTCACTTGTAAAGCTTGTTTTCAGGATGTATTGTGTTGTATTGTACTATTATATCGGGTATGCACGCGCCAGAACTCCCGCAAAATCACAATAATGTACCTAAGTAGGCCATGCCCAAAAATCACCCATCCATCCATTTAATCGTGCCATCATAAAGGTTCGTACCGGTTCGTTTGCCGCATTTGTCGTTTGTCGCATGTCGCATTTGTTGCATGTCTAGTCCTAGTCTGTTCGTTAGATGTCTTTCTCCACCAAATTTACTAGTAAGCGTACATACCCAAAGCAGCAAGTTGCGAATCGGGTTCCTCTTAGTTGTCACTTGCCTCGTCGGCAAGGTGCTGGTTGACTGTTAGTCAAGATCTCTTTAGTATCGGTGCCAATTAAACATACCTTAACCAACAAAGCAGCACGATCATCCTGCTCTCCCTCCATATCATCAAGTTGGTCTCGATTAATAGAGAGTTTATCTCTGATCGAGCCCCAGTTGACATACTTCTCGCGATCCAAATAAGCTAATGGGAACTCGGCGTATTCTTTGAGAACCTCTTTCCATGTACGGTCGACTTTAAAGCTTTGCATGGCCATAGTCCCTATGCAAATAATCATAGATCAGCTTTTATGCCTTGCAAAGTTAGGTTAAAAAAATATGGAAGGAAACTTACACTTATACTTCTTGGTATAAACACGCTTCTCCTTGGCGGTGAGCAAAACCATGAGTCTAGGAGCTAGGAAGACGGTTCTGGGAGGTGGGAGGGGAAGACCCTTTGCGCGACACTCGGCTCTGCGCTTTGCGGCTCTGGTCTTGTATTTCTTTGCCTTTGCTTTGATCTTTGCCATGGTGATTTATTTATCGAAGAAGGGTTTGTTTAAAGAGAATTGTTTTTGTTGGGTTGGGAGGGTGTCGATGGGTGGGAGGTGATTGTTTAGAATTGAAAATGGATGAAGGGAATTTTTGATTGATATGCTAGTTATTAAGCGAACTACCCTCGAGGGGGAATTAGCTTGGAAATTTTAGTGCGGTATTTGAGTGTGGTATTTTAGTGTGTGGGTGAATTTGAGTTGGTTATTGTCTGATGTATGCTTTGAATGTTTATGTTGTATCTGAATCTGAACTATACAGTATCTCATCTCTTGTTGTTATTTCTAGAAGAGTTTACAAAGTTGAATTCCTGGTTTTGGGGGTAATTCGACAAAAATCTTGAGAAGAGAATTGTTCTAGCTTAAGGCATTATACAATTTCAAACTGTTTCGTCGAGTGTTGTACTGCTAGGAAGCACTTTGTGTGGAGCTAAAAGTTGTATCTTTGAGAGGCATTTTTGGGCATTGAAAGGATTCGAATAGTACTTTATTGCTAGTTTCCAGGGTCCTGAATGTATCTCGTCGAATACTGAAAGGCTGGGAGTTATACAGAATCAGTCCATACATTTTGGGTTTGAAGTGCAGTTTCTGATTTTGAAAGATTTTGAGAGGTCCATTCTTTACAACTTTGTCTGATTTGAATGAATCTCGTCGGGTTTCGAGAGGATTGGAATAGCTATGATCTAAGTAGAATCTAGAATTCTGGGATATAGTATTGGATAGTGAAAGAAAGTGAAGGGTTTATGGCTCTAGGGACTCATGAGAATTAGATAAGTTCCATCGAGCTTTGTGGGGATTCAAAGTGCTGTGATCAAAATAGAATTTGGAATTTTATCCAATACTTGCAAAAATCAAAGGGTATTTTTGGCATGTGTATGGTTTCATATATTCCAGGAACTTGAGAGGTCACTCACTCATCGAGTATTGTTCAGTCATCGATTCAACAGCCAAGCTACTTTGGGAGGTGTCATGTCATTTACTTGTCATGCTAGAGGTTGGGAATGGTCTCCTGTGGAAGAGAAGGTAGGAAATCTAAGCTACATTGTCGAATATCTTAAAGCTAGATATATTTACTGATCAAGAAAAGTTAGGATAGTTATGTTATTCTTACAGTTTTTGCAGGATTAAGTGTCGATGTACATGTTTTATATGTGTGATCTTTGACACTGGACCATTTGATGTTGTGATCCATGGCATTAGTATTCTTTATGAGAGAGCGTGGAATATGAATAACTGTTTGTTCATATCTAGAAGTGACATTGCAAACATAAGACGCATAAGCCTAGAGTTTGAGAGAGCATGAGCGCTGGTATGTAAGGTAAAGAATGATTAGCTTCGTAAATGCTTCAGTAACTATTTGACTGGATAGCTTACTAGCTTGAGGTCATTGACGAATTGCCATGGCCGAAGGAATGAGTAATATATAGCTAGTTGGCTGATCCTAGGGAGATGGGACATATCCATCGGGCATTAAACTAGTCCAGCATATACTTCGAAACAGAGATCGACCTACACTACTGGATGTGTGAACTCTCTAATTCTTACTGAAAGATTAGTTTCGAAATGACTAACAACTGCTACAAAGCTAGAACATGCACATTAAATGTCAGTCATATACTCTGCCCACACGAAAATGATTCCAGAACCTTCGCCCCCCGAATAAATTATGAGTACAAAGCATGTCCTTGCTGTAACATCCTTTCGAGCTAAAAACTAACGAGTATATACCACTCGCATCCATGATAATGCCAGGCACAATAATGTTGACTACAAAGCACAGATACCGCGATCAAGGAGCCGCATTAACGTCACTTCAGGCCAACGAAGAAAATGACATTTACTACTCTACCGTGCATATACGACTGTTTGAAGTCACTCGATCTGCTGAAAGCAGCAAAGTTGCAACTCACGCTAGATTGAATCGACTCAACGAATTTGATGATGATATGTGAAGAATACTTCCGTCTTACATCGAGTACATAATGGATACCTCGGGTAATGCAGCATGTGAATCAAATACAGAAATCGCTTCAGAGTGACGAGATGAAATAGTGTGGCGTCGCTGCTATTCTGGATATACTGGTCCATTGACAAGAGAGTACCACAACGATGGAGTCACTTCTTGGAGAGAGGAGTATAGAAGAGAACATCCCATTTATGATTTGATAGCTGAGTATGCGCTGCTTTCCTGACTATTTACATCTCAAGCTTTTGCCCTTGACACTACTCATTTACTCAAGGGAATTGATACGAGCACAAAGTTCATCATGGTACTTTTTAATGTGAACATGGAAAACCTATATCTTTCCGCACTCTCGAAATTACCTGTGGTGAAGATTTTGTCCTCGCTTGACAAGTTAAAATCTCCCCATTCAGTCTAGTAAATGGAACAGCGTTCGATGTTAGTGCCTTCCCACTGGATGATTCTCAATCTGGTGTCATATCAGTCAACACATATCCTGAACTCGTAGCATTTGATGACACTCGTTGAGGCAAACTTCCATCCTAATCTTGCGACATCCTTCGTAGGTAACGAACGTCTCCAAGACAAGGGTGCAACTATTTGAATCTTTCATATTAACAGATTCAGGTAGCTCACAATATGGCAGTAGTAATTTTGGATTAAGATGTCTAAGTATGAGTTCTTGTGGGTTCACCCAATCTTTGAGAAGCAGGGGCAGGAACTCATCTCGAACTAGAAGCCAAATGCTCGAGAAAAATGCCTACCGGTTTAAGAGACCGGACTGAACCCAGGACGGTAGATCAGTCCACATTGTTTCCATGTCTAGTTAACGCTACAATGATGCAACCTCAATTGCCGATTATTAGTCCATCATGTATTCTTCATCGGACATAATAAGATAGTAATGCACTTCATCCGGAACTTCGCGTGTCTCGGTCAATATAACCGAGCCCCTAATTTTCCAGCTTTAATATGACAGTACTTGATATCTTGTTAAAGAATATTTCAAATCATATGAACATTTCCTCGACGAAGAGAAATTTTTAATTTTAATTTTATCTTTTCGAGAAATACAAATTTTCATATTGATATCTATTCAATAAATATCCCCTCTTCGGTCTCATTTTAATATATTAGTCAATCTACATGTCACAGCGCCAACTACCTGTTCTGTAGTTGCCTTCGTGCCTAAGGCTTACACCACTAGCGCGCCTTACTTCTTATAAGTAGGGTCTCTTCCTTCCATAGTCCTTCTACCCTTATGGTACAATATAAGTCTTTACCTGTACCCTGACACTATATGTACTTTTTAAACTCATGTACAAAAAAATAATTTTATCAAGCTTTTGACATTGATTCAATATCTAAAAATTCTTAGGTGATTGAATTATAGTTACTAAACCACTCCATGCAACTACAGAAGCTTGCATACAAAATGACTTATGACTGCAGCTCAAAGCAAGTTTTGACGAAGTGTTTTGTTGCCAGGATGCCACCATGGAGAGCGTTAGTGTTACAAGAAGTCAATTACGCAAGCCTAGAGCAATCGAAAGACATCGAGAGCTTGCGGGAAGAGTTAGTGTAAAAATGACATGCAAGTGTGAGCGGCGTCACCAAAAATCGCTCTTCCTGGGCAGCGCTCGAAAATGACTTCCGCGAGCGTAAGTAGGAACAAAGACACTGACTGCAATCTGAGAGCTGCCCTTGTATGCCGGCATGAGCACCCGTACTCTATCCGGCATTTCTTGAGCTCATTGGGTATTACCCTACCCTACAAGTATAGTAGAGTGGATACTCAGAAAACCTAAAAAATATATTGGATATCCGGGGTATCTGGGGTATCTATTATATGATCATCCTATATTTTTTATCTGAAAAAGAGTTTATCATTAGTATGTTTAATGATTTAAATATAATTATACGATGTTATATTATATTGAAAATTACTGTAGTGGAAGGGCTCTAGTATTACTAAGGGTATCGATCTTGGTCCTCTCGGAGGGGACCAATATGCCTGCCTAAGGTTCATTTAATATAGCCTGTTAGGTAACCGTATTACTGAGACTATCACGTGTCGTATATTACGTGAAATTGACTTCTACATCTCCTAAGTTAACATGTTATATAACGTGGTTTATCAGTACATGGCCTATATTAATAGATGGCCTACTTTCATCTCAATTTAATTTCCTTATTTTAATATGTGTTTTATTAATAACTCATAATGAATTCAAATAATAAAGAAGTCTATATATTACTTATTATTACAATTATTTAGAAAAATAAAAAGCTAAATACTTGAAAGGTTGTAATACTATATAATATCCTATAATTAATATTATAATATAAAATTAATAATATATTTTCTTATATAGAAATTCAATCTAAATCTTAAAATCTCTTAGAATTAAAAGAGGAAATCATTATTCAATATATAGTTAATATGGATTCGAAAGATTTTGTATTTAAATAAAAAAGAGTAGAAGATATAGTGAATTATATTCTTAAATTTCAAGATGTAAAAAGAATTAGAAAGTTCTAAATTCATCGATTTATTAAACATTATATAGAGCTAAAAACATATTTTAAATATATTTATAATTTTCAAAAAGCTTTTTATAAAGATTCTATATTTATTAAAAACTAATTCCGATTTATATTGAATATATAAACAAAATATAATATTCTCGATTATAATTTATAGAATTTCAATGAAACCAGTTTTATAATAAATATTATAAATACTAATATAGTTATTATTAATACTGAGAGATATAATAAAAATAAAACTATACAATTAAGTAATTAAGAATAAGCAATAGTAATCATATATAATAATAATAAGGGAAATACTATATTGTTACAACGGATTAGTAACAGGCTGTGGAATCACTAACCTATAGGCTATAATGATATTATAGGCCTCAGTGATTCAGCTGTAGTATACCGGGGGACATTAGGTACCCAAGGAAAGCCTCAGGCATATATATAGTATTAGTTATAGGATACCCTAGAA